TTCAATTCTTAGCCAGGGTAGAAACATTAGGCATGTTTCTTTACACCTGTTGTCTATGTTTACCCATCAGTAAATGGGTACCTGGGTGTTAGCCGACTAGTGTGGGTGTTATCCTGGGACACTGACCTAATTTTCTTGAAATTCTCTGCATAACAAGCGGCTTTCTATATTGTAGTATGTCACTGATGTCAGCTAGGCCTGTGTACCTTGTACATGTACATGTAGTAAATAAAGATATTATTATTATTATTATTATTATTATTATTTTCTCAATTGTTTGTTGGGTTATCTTATTCAAACTTGGGAAATGTATGATGGAAAGATACTTCTTAAAGTACACCAAAAATGAAAGAAATCAGACCATAAATAGCGGAGTTCACTTCTTAGCCATTAGCGGCCGCTTAGCGGTATATTTTTGTATGTTTTTTATGGTTGTATTCTCATTTTTTCGGTCTCATTTGATAGAATGAAAATATATATTACAGAAATAGATATGATTTTGATTGCTTTCATGATGAAAAGTACCTTGAAATTGCGCTCACAGTAGCGAAAATGTTCTATTCTTTAGTGAAGCTCGTGTAAGCAAATGACGTCACCGTCCAATACCTGTCTGCCTGCCAGTCCAAATTCCAATACGGAGTCAAGAATGTGTTGACATCATTTATACAATTATTACAATAATGCAGTAGTCTGCATATCAGTAAATCTTCTATTTTTTTGTGAATAAAAATTCCAAATGGTAAGCAAGAGTAATATAAGAGGGGCCTGGAGCCATGACTAATGAATAAGGAAAATGTTATTTCAGTGCCAGGAATGTCTGTATTGTTTATTCTGGACCCTATTTTGAAATTGGCATCTGTTGAAATTTGTGTGAAATCAACTAAATTTCCAATTTCTGACCACTTTATTGGGTAGTTGAAATAAGTGAATGGGCTGTTTCTTGTACTCAGTTGACAGACTAGAAGTAAATAAGTTTATTCAGGTATACACAAAAACAGTTACATAGATTATCATACATAGCAGTGTATGCAAAGAGAACCTTGGATAACCCAGAAAAGTCAGACAAAGTGACTTATTTCCAGTACCTGGCTTGGGCTTGCCATATATTATTTTTGGTAAATATTTTTTTCTCGGTTGTTTGTTGGGCTATCTCATTGAAACTTGGGCAATGTATGTTGGAAAGATGCTTCTTAACGTACAACAAAAATAAAAAAGACGGACGATAAATAAGGGAGTTCACTTCTCAGCCATTAACCGCCTCTTTGCAGTATATTTTTGTATGTTTTTTATGGTTGTATTCTCATTTTTTTGGACTCATTTGATAGAATGGAAGACATATTACAGAAATAGAGATGATTCTGATTGCTTTCATGACGAAAAGTACCTTGAAATTGAGCTCAAATTAGCGGAAATCTTCGATTTTTGCCGATGTTCAGTGAACTTTGTGTAAGTCAAGTTGGTTAATTTTATTAAGTGTATTCTAACCTAACCACTCTGTAATCCAAATGATGCCTGATATGTAATGGAGGACCTGTACAGTGGAACCTCAAATATCGAACTTTATCCGTTCCAGGAGTTAGTTCTAAATTCGAAAAGTCTGAAAAGCGAAGCAGTATTTCTCATAAGAAATAATGGAAATACAATTAATCCGTTCCAGAAACCCAAAAATATTCACAAATATTCACATTTTATAGAGATTAATTATAGTTTTACATACACACAACAAATATAATGTTCAATTATGTATTAATAAATTTAAATAAACATACAAAAATAACATTTTACTTACCTTTATTGAAGACTGGTGAGGACTTCAGGTATCAAAGCCCTCTCTGGAGTTACTTCCCTTCTCTGTCTTTTAATGCCACTAGGACCAGCTTGAGAGTCACTGGACCCCTGTCTCACAAAATAACTGTCCACAGTCCTCTGTTTCTGGTGCCTCTTTAAGATTTCCCTAAAATGTGACATGGTTCTGTCACTGAACTTGTTGCAAAGATGGCGTGTTTCAGCTTGCTCAGGGTGATACTTCTCCACAAACATTTGGACATCATTCCACTTCTGTATTATTTCCTTCACATCTATGGTGTTTCTCTCTTTACCACAGGGGTACCACTAGCAAGTTTCTTTGGGCCCATTGTAGCTTATTTCACAGTCCCACAAGCACTAAACACAATGAAATAATCGTAAAATGTTTGAATGAGAGTGCAGGTTAGTGTTCACTCAAGCATCAACAAAACCAGACTGGCTCATGGCGCCTGCGTGGGGACGCGGACAGAGCAGGCTGCCGGACAGGTCCGGTACCCAGTGGTTCGAAAATGGGGGCGATTTTGATAATAGGGACAAAGCTGGTTCGGAAAAAGCGTTCTATTTTCGAAGAGTTCGATAAGTGATACGTTTGAAATCTGAGGTTCCACTGTACATGTAACATGGAGCATCTAAACTCACCAAGTTAACTCAATAACCTTACAGAAGAAATACTTTAATTGTTATTTCTTACAGCATTTTTATTCAGAGGCATTAGAAACAACCAACCATAACATTTTAAATCGGGCTTCGTGTTTTTAAGAGACAGAGAAGTAGAGTAAGTACATATACATATTAGGTTAAGTCTGCCCAAAATGCCCCAGCATGATAGTGGCTTTCTTTGTACCAATCAAATTATGAAATGTAATCACACATTGTAACCTTTGCAAGGAAATAAATACATGTATTTGTATTTTGTATTTGTAGATGCAGAAATCCAATTATATGGACATATATTAAAGTGAAATTAGGGGTATAATGGTATATTTGATCTGGGAAGTGACTCACATTGGTATTGAATCCTGCTTTGTGTAAACAGTATGGACACTCCACAAGAGCTCTGCAGTTTCTTTACTATTGTTTCTGATTTTTCTTCTTTTGATCTGTGACATATCTAAACTTCTGTGAAGACAGATATTGAATGAGTGATAGTGAATGTGTTTCCTTTTCTTGTTTTTTTGAGTCTCCTTAACTCTGTGGGAGATGGCCGGTAAGTTAAATAGATGGTACTGGTGGTATTATTAGTGAGAATTTATTGATCCAGACAGCTTGGGCTATCAATGAATATGTTATTGGCTCGAGTTATAGAACATGTTGAAAGGATAGTCATTGATGGCAAATACCATTAATCTCTAATTGATGTGTTGATTAGTGTGCTATATTTTTACATGACAAAAACTTTGAGGAAAAAGTTAAAGAGGAAATTAGCACCATCAGCTTGCTTTGTTCCTTGATTCAAACCTTGCAGGAAATGGTATCCAAAGCTTAGGAGAAGCAATTTCTGTAGCAGGTTGTGAATTTGAAGGTTTATCTTTATGTATATAGGGTGCTGTATAATTTTTTCTGTTAATCCTTCAGTGTTTTAAAACAGAACTTCTAGTAACACAGCACAGACTGGAATTTCTACCAAACTTCCAGCTAGTCAACTCAATACTATATCGAGCATATTAAAATAATTATTGCCCAATCAGTGCAGCCACATTGTAAAGCAAATTATGCTGCATGGTGTATATTTTAAGTTTAATTTCTTACTGTCAGGATCACTTAGTGAATGTGTTGCTGAAGAGTGGTAAACGAGATGGATGGTGGCGCACGAGGTCATTGGCTCTTAGCACTCTGGCCATTTACCTCTACCATGAACTGGCACACCAAACATTCCACACCAAAGTAAACGAGGCAATCAATGTTCTACTAGCATCACTGAAGGTAAGTTCAGGTCCTTTTTTTTAGTTGAGCTAGTTTTCTATGGCAGCATTTTGAATACAGTAGTCACTTGTGTTGTAGCTCTCACAGTGTATAATTGGAATGTAGTTTACTTACCTTACTAATGTAATAAGAAATAACTTCATAAGTACTTGTTTTGCTTAATTGTGGTGCTTGAAATGATAATGATTGTTATAAGAGACAGAATTACTACAGTTGCATGACCAAAGTTTTTTGTAACCAACTTTGCATGAATAATCAGTTAAGATTGATGCTTATAGTATTTTTATTGCTTCACATTGAATTTTGTGTGCAGTGTTTATTTAATATAGATTGCTCTCTCATTGATTTCAACAGAAGATCCATTAGCAAATGCTGACTTAATATTTATGTAAAAATGTGTAGCTTATGTTAAAATTCTGGATTATTTTAATTAAAGCCAGTTTTATAGCTATTAATTTTTGTTTTATGTTATTTTGGTATTTTCATTATTTAAAACCATTTTTATAATCTTTTCATGAGCTACTTACTAAATCTCCTGTTCTTAAGACTAAATAAAAATTTTAGGAAATTTTAAAATATTATCTGCTCTTTATATTTCTTTTATTTTATAATAAATTTCCTGCTACACATTTCCACATCCATCCTTTGGTAATAAGCGCAGTTGCCCTGCATGATGAAACTGACAAATATTTTGCATTCTAGCAAGCAGTATCTTCAGTGCACCCATCTAAGCATCTGGCCCAGAGTATTGAGGTACCTTCTGCTGTGTGTGTGTCAGTATTGTAGTGGTGAAGGGATTTATTGGTTACGGAGGATTATCATAAGGACAATTTGTGGTGAATTAGTAATTTTGGTTTCACTGGAGGCCTATGTATTGGTTCTCCACTTCAGGGAAAAATAGAATAAAGTTTTTAGATGGTTTAATAGACTTGACTAGGGCATTCATACATAGGAATTATGTTTAATTACATTTTTTTTATAAGGTTTGACTTGGAAAATTACTTAAGCTTGACAGTACAGTATACATCATCCTTCATAGCATATCCTAACAAACATAAGCACAACATTTTTTCTGTGTTCTCAGATTTTTTCTAAAGATACCATACTGTTCAGCTTTCCCTTACTAATATAACCTATTTTGCTTATTAAGGGTGTATTTGATGTGTGGTGAAAAAAAAAATTGAAATGGTAGATCACTCAACTACTGCACATGCATCTCACTACTGACTATTAGTTTATGTAATAACCACTTATTTCAAATGAAATGAAATGTTTTCCCAAGTATGAGATGCTAGTCAAAGTTGCAGATGGTGCCATGGATATTCCGTAAAGATAAAAATAAGTAAATTTTCTGAATCCAGTGACAAACAGATTATTGAGCATGTATTTGATTTTTTGTAATTTTTAGTTTTAAGAATTTTATTTTCTGCATAGTTAGCAAGGTGTACTGCATTCTGATGTAGTTGGTTATTACCTTATGGTGAATGAAAGATAGCACTGAAAACATTAAAGGTTTTGCAGGCTGTATAAAAATCTTATCATTGAATCTCTGGGCTCACCATCTCAACCGACTTTTCACAGTGACACAGTCTGTGATTTTGAACCTTACTTATTCAACATGTAGAGTACATATGCATACCATAATTTCTCACATGGCTCACAAAGGTAAACACTATCAAGCCTTATTGTTATCAGTTAATCTACTGCTAACAGGATTTGATCATAGATCTTCTTTCTTTCTTTCAACACACCGGCCTTATCCCACCAAGGCAGGGTGGCCCAAAAAGAAAAACGAAAGTTTCTCTTAAATTTAGTAATTTATACGGGAGAAGGGGTTACTAGCCCCTTGCTCCCGGCATTTTAGTCGCCTCTTACAACACGCATGGCTTATGGAGGAAGAATTCTGATCCAATTCCTCATGGAGATAAGAGGAAATAAACAAGAACAAGAACTAGAAAGAAAACAGAAGAATACCTAGAGGGGTGTGTATATATATGCTTGTACATGTATGTGTAGTGTGACCTAAGTGTAAGTAAAAGTAGCAAGACATACCTGAAATCTTGCATGTTTATGAGACAGACAAAAGACACCAGCAATCCTACCATCATGTAAAACAATTACAGGTTTTCGTTGTACACTCACTTGGCAGGACGGTAGTACCTCCCTGGGCGGTTGCTGTTTACCAACCTACTACCTAGGTTGATCATAGATATCCCTGGGTATTTTGAAATACTGACCAAGCTTAAGGATTATGTACCATACATATACTGTAATCTCCAAAATTACAAGGGTTACATTCATGGTGAAACTACAGTATGTCCTTGGAAGAATCTTCAAATGTAATTATGAGTAGAGGATCAGATATTTAAAATTTATGTATGGGTGAAGGTGTTGTGGAGGGGTAACAATGAAGTCAGAAGGATGATTTTTCTGAAGGCTCATCAAAATCTGATTCATCAGAGGTGATGACTGAAATTTATGTTGTGGTGGAGATTGAAGTGGTGGCTATGATTACTGATGTAGGGAAGGGGAATGTTGTGAATGAAAACTGGACTTGGAAACAAAAGTGATGGTCATCTGCTCTCCTTGAAGTAGGTGTTAATGGAGTTCATTGTAGGTTAGAAATGCCACATCTCTAACAAACATAATCCAACACAAACTATTTGTCCAGGAAATCGTAACATCACAATTAAAAACACATCACAGACCAAGTGAGGCTCAAACTCACAGGTCAGTGTGCTAACCACTGGCCTGTGAGTTTTAGGACTCACCTGCCATGGTTTTGATTCCCACTCTTTCTGTGATTTCTTTTGTCCATTTATATGTGAAGTTATATCAAACTTCATTGGTGACAGGTTATTGAGGTTTTATATTAGCATTAGCATCTGCATCCTCATTTTCTTTGACCTAAATCTTGATCATCTCCTTAATTCTATCATTTTTCAGCTACTCATAATTTAATACTAGTAGTCTGCCCATTGTTTCTGGTGCATGTCTTCAAAATTTTCTCCTCACACTAAAATTCCAGCCTAAGAATCCATTTTGGATTATAATTTTGGGAAAACTATTGAAATTGTTCACTTCGTCTTTCCATAACTACTTCCAGCAGGCATTGAAGGTCGACTCTTAGACCTCATCATTTACCACCTTGATATTTTTATACTCTGTTGTAATTTACTTCTTCCAGCACGTTATTAAATTCATTCTTGGATTACATTTAACCCCTTAACTGTTCAAACGTAGATCTACTCTCTTACCACTATTGCTCCAGACGTAGATCGATGTTTTATTTTTTCCTGCTCCCACATTTGGCACGATTGGCCTGAAATGCCTGGTCAGTATAGAATGGGTCTTAACACTCGATGTGTGCAGTATTAAAAAAATCTGGGACCACTTAGTACATACCTTGTGGGAGTGCCAGGTAGAGCAAACAGAGACAGGAAGAGAGAAAGAGAGAGAGAAGCAGAGAAAGAGATAAACAGAGACAGCTAGATGGACAGATGGACAGACACAGACAGATAAACAGGCAGACAGACAAAACAGATAGATGTGTTTAAGTGTAACAGTGAAAACAAATGAAGCCAAGGCCTGTCTTCTGACAAATATTTCTTATCCTCTTTGACTTGCTTAATTTTGGAGGGATATTTTTTCTGCTGTCCAGTAACTGTTGCATTGGTCTACAGCAGAAATGCTCTGAAAATAAAACTAATCATTCTTTACAAATTTTGTGTCATTGAATATGGAAATACTGCTTAAAATTGCAAATTGGCTTTTATTGTAAGCCTATGGACTCAGGTCAGTTGCTATTATCTTAAATCTAGGAAGGGAGGAGGGTAAATAGTCTGTTTGAGGGAAGGGTTCTTGATTCAAACCCACAATGCATGATTGTTTAAACCATACATACAGTTTTCCATAGCCGCTATGCATAATTGTTTGAAAAATACAGTGGTCCCTCAATAATCGTCCGGCCTGAAAATCGTCCATTTCGGAAATACAGTGGTCCCTCGTTTTTCGTAGTTAATCCGTTCCTGGAGTTGCTACTATTATCGAAATCTATGATTTTCGAATCAATTTTCCCCATAAGAAATAATGTAAATACAATTAATCTGTTCCTGACACCCAGAAGTATTAAAACAAAAATTTTTTTTACATGAAATATAGATGTAGTACATAAACAATACAATGGGAAATGATGAATGAAACATTAACAGCATAACACTTACCTTTACTGGAGATTCTTCTTAGTGTATGGGAGATTGGAGGAGAAGAGAGATTGGATTGTTTACAGTTTGGAAGGGGAATCCCCTTCCAGCAACACCTCAGGTACCAATTGCTTTTCTGGGGTTGCTTCTCTTCTCTGTTTCTTAATGCCACTAGGACCAACTTTAGAGTCACTGGAGTCCTGTCTCTGTCGCAGAATAACTGTGGAGAGAGCTCTGTTTCTGGCGTCTCTTTAACCCTTAAACGGTCCAAACGTATATATACGTTTTTTCAACTTCTGAAAGTATGTAAAAAATTGTAGATCTTTTTTGTTTTACATTTGAAAACGTATAAAAAACTTTTATCTACATTATTTTTTTTTGTTATATTTGAAAATATGTAAAAAAAAGTAGATCTACTTTTGTAGCACTACGAATTTGAACGTCGATCTGTTTGGACCATTTAAGGGTTAACACTTCTCTAAAATGGCCCAAGACTTTGTCACTGTACATGTTGCCAACATGGCTTGCAACAACCTTGTCAGGGTAATGTTTCTCCATAAATCTTTCCATCTTACCCCACATAGCAAAAATCTCTTTAATTTCTGAAGAAGGCACCTTCCATCTCTCTTCCTCCTCCTCTGCAGCAAGATTCTGAGCTGCGATCTGTTGCTGTTCCTGCTGAAGCTCTTGCAGCTTCTCAGTGGTGAGCTCTTCGTTGTGGTCTTCCACCAACTCTTCCACATCCTCCAAACTCACATCCAACCCCATGGAACTCCCCAGTGCCACAATTGATTTAACAACAGACATAGGCTCATCAGGGTCAGTCCCAAACCCTTCAAAATCCCTCTTGCCGACACAATCTGGCCACAATTTTCTCCAAGCAGAGTTCAAAGTCCTGGTAGTCACTCCCTCCCAAGCCATACCTATAAGGGTTATGCAATGGAGGATGCTGAAGTGTTTTCTCCAAAATTCTCTTAGGGTCAAGTGAGTGTCTGTGGTCACAGTCAAGCACCTGTGAAACATTGCTTTGGTGTAGAGTGTTTTAAAGTTTGCAGTGACCTGCTGGTCCATGGGCTGGAGGAGAGGAGTGGTATTCGGGGGCAAGAACTTTACTGTGATGAACCCAAACTCCTTGAAAATTAGGTCATCCAAGTTTGGAGGATGAGCAGGTGCATTGTCCATTACTAGCAGGCACTTGAGATCCAATTTCTTTTCCAGCAGGTAATTCTTCACACTAGGGCCGAACACTTCATTGAACCACTCGACGAAAATTTCCCTCGTGGCCCATGCCTTACTATTAGATTTCCAAAACACACACAATTTACTCTTCATCACATTGTTTTTCCTGAACACTATGGGATTTTCAGAATGGTACACTAGTAATGGCTTCACTTTGAAATCCCCACTAGCATTAGCACAGAACATGAGCGTCAGCCTGTCTTTCATAGGCTTGTGTCCTGGCATTACCTTTTCCTCCTGTGTAATGAAGGTCCTCTTTGCCATTTTCTTCCAAAAGAGGCCTGTTTCGTCACAATTGAACACTTGCTCAGG